TAGATCAGACATTGATTATGTGGAACGATGAGTCTGATATTAATGAATGCACGTTCTCTATTGTTGTTCAATGTCAAAAAATGCCCGTGTCAATTGCACTGTCGAGCTCAACGTGTTTAGCTCAGCTGTTGGATGACGATACATTAACTCCTAGCATATGTCAAGTGATTCGGACACAAGATATGCAGCAAGGTGTTATGCAAATTGTCAATGACATATGGCTATTGTACAACATTTGTGAAATAAATTATTGTCAGGCTCATTCTACTTCCAACGAATTAGGTGAAACAATACCGATCAGCGAGCCAGCAATTTTACGTACCCCCTGTGAGAAAACAGTGGTATGTATGGACGTTCAATTACCAGCAGCAACGTGTATTCAACGTCGAATTATCTTTAAACCAAGTCTTTTTACCAACTTCCTGAATCAGCCAACGTTCAGTATACCAATTAAAAACATGACGAAAAGATTGCTATCAGCATATAAATTACAAGCGGCACAATCGGCGAAAGAGATCATGACAGAATTTATACCAAATCAGTCAAAAACAAAACGATTCATTCATGAACTTGGCACATTTATCGTATCTGTCGTACTCTTTCTTTTCTTAAGCATTCTTGTCTACATCATCAAGTGTATAAAACATAATGTAAATAGAGACATAGATAAACTTCAAACACTTGTACAGGACATGATCACCTTATGATATATTCTTACCTTATATAACAGTTTTTCTGTAATCAGTTCTGTCTGCTAAATATAATAATCCAAGCATATAATAAACGTAAGTTATACGGTAAACGTAAATGTCACAGACTGACAATTTTAAGTGTACGGGAAGCTACGCTCTTCCTCTGATTCATATGACTTCGTTTCGAAACGAATCGCCACAGCATTTTCTCATATTTACCCTTGATGCCATATGATCAAGGTACTAATTAGCGATTTTCTCGTTGATGACTCTGTCAAAAGTGAAAAGTAAGATGTGCAATCGATAGAGCATGAAAAGTTCTACCTGTTGTCGTCAGTAATAGAGTTGGAACCAGTGCAGAAACGAATCGCGACAGGGTTTCCCGGAATTGCCGAAGTTTGCTGTCGGTTTTTGACTATAATCCCGGGGTTTCTCCTTGGTAGTACGATAAATTTTTGGAGCGACAGCTGGAACAGAAAGCGCTGGTCCAGTGGCGCTTAGAGCCAACGGAAGTGGAATTGGAACCAGCCTGTGGGCGAATCCTTTCAGGAATTGCTCGAATCCTGGCCTAGGATATCCTACGTGTTTTCTTTTCCTATCTATATATTCCCAACTTAGTATCTATATATTATCAACTTACGTTAATATCTATATTATCAACATTATTTCACATACATACGTTTAATATTAATGCACGTAAACAGCCAAAATTTGAATTAGATTTATGGAATACGCGTGAAAATACAATTCAAGGACGTCATCGAACTAATAATATCGTTGAAGGATGGCACAATCGGTTATCAGCATTATTTAATTGTAAACATTCAAACTTCTGGAAATTTCTCAAAAATTTGAAAAAGGAACAAAATTATGTCGATGCTGAATTAATTCAAGCTGAAGCTGGAGCACGGCAACCAATGAAAAAAACAAAGCTACGACAAGAACAACGTAGATTAAATATTTTAAATGATACATCAACAACAACTTTAGAAAAAGTATCAGCAATAGCTCAAAATATTACAATAAAATCGTAATTCAATATATTATGCTTCATAACATTGACATCTTTTAAAAACAGTTAACATAGACAGATGTGTGTGAATGATTTGAATGTACATTTTGTAATGCGCTTATATGAATAAGATTAGAGAATAATCGAAAAGAATAGAAGGTACAATACAGAAATGAAAAAACTGTTATGACTTAATTTCGATAAAAGATATAAGAAAAGAAAAAACAGTCCTGTATATATTTTCCTTCTGAATGAACTTTCATTTTTGACTCATCACTCATTATTTAATATACACGATTCTTTCATGCCTATACGTAATTGAAAAAAATTTGGAATTCTCAGAGTTCACTCTTGTGGAGCATCATCCTAGGAGAGTAAGTGTCTGGGGAGCATTTGTCCTAGGAGAGCAAGTGACCGGGGAGCAACTGTCTGGGAAGCATGTGGCCGAATACCCTTTTGCTTCGCTCTCTCAAGGGGGGTCTTCTATTCCGGGGGGTCTTCTAATCTGTCCAGGGCTTTAGACTGAATTTCATTTGCTATGTTCTTTTTTAGTATGCGGTTACTGACACTCTTAAGTATATGTTGATCTCTCATTACTAATGTCATTTCGTCTTCAATAGCTCCTATGTTATATATGGAATTTTTTAGTACTTTAGCTTCCTGTATACTGCTTTCTTGTAGTCGATATATCGCTGTACTCTGAGTATTCGTTGTTTGCGTGTGTTGGCAAATATTAAAGGTAATGTGCTTTTAGATCTGACTGATACTTCTTCAGGTGGTTGCTGCAACATCGCCGTGTATACGTTCTGTCTAAATGTCTCAGTTGATAGTGTAGTGTGCAATGGTGATATTCTGTACATTGTGCATATGGCTATGCTTTTAGACAGATCAAGTGGTATAAAATGACAAAAATGTTGAGTCAAAGGTATAGTAATAGCGAAACTTTGCAGCCATTCCACCGATCGACATCTGTTTTTTAATATAAATGTAACGCCTGATGCTCCATGCACAATTCCTTCTTTACGTGATTTCTCAGTGTTGTCTTTATACTAATACCAGTTCCCATTAGCGTAAATATGGCAATAAAGCGCATAATAGGCATCTAAAATTATGTAAAAAATACATTTATTACTCTATACTTTTAATTTCTTTTTATTCTCCATTTTTAGTTTATATCGCCAATTCCAGACAGAGACGCAGACTTCAAACAACTGCGAGGCGGTTACGTCAGGCAGAAGAAAAAATCTTTCAGATCAAGAAGAAAAATGCGGCTAAAACCACACGTTGAAGTACAGACGTTGTACTATATACTGATCTATTTACTAGAAAAAGACCCTTTTTAGTTTTTGAGATATGTGGCTCTCAATATCGATGATTAGCAGTTAGAACAACGCTTTTTGACTACCATGACTTTCTCTTCGTGTCATGATAGTCAGAGATAATGTGTGTTCAAACGGGTAAAAACCATTTTGAAGTCAAAATCATTTTTAGGACCAGTCTGAAGTACCTAAGTTGTACTATCTGCTGAGCTATATTTTAGAAAAAAGATACATTTTGCTTTCTTTGAAAGCGGGCTGTCAATATCACAGCTAAACATAAGGAACATATATACTTTTTATTGTCATCCTTGATAGATGTATGAGGATTCATATGTGTAAGGTTCTCGAATACAAATGGTGTACAAATTTTATATCGGTAGAGTACAAATATACAAGGTTGTTGATAAGCTCTTAATCAGTTTCGTATAAGCCTGTCAAAATGTATCAACTAGATCGAAGAGTAACTGAGCGTTTCAGAATATATTCCGATCGGTCGTTACTCCGATCCTTAGGTCGGTATAGGTACGATATGACATAATTTAGCACTGTTTTATACGTAACTGTCTTATTTCTGATTGCATAAATATATAACTACTTCTGTATGTATGTAGAACTTTATCCCTCTTTATAGAAAAGATGAAACTCTCTATTTTAATCTATGCATTACTTTATGTCCATATAAAATTCATTCTTTTCTTACTTTCTTGTCTTTTATATCTGTCTATGTGGATCTAAAATAAAATTGACTATCCCTTTCTGATTTTTATGTCGGTTTCAAGTACCCAAGTTGTACTCTGTGCCGAGCTATATTTTAGAAAAAGATTCTTTCCCAGATAAATTTTATGTACCAAATAAGGAAAAAGAAGCAAATTTTATTCCGGTCGATTATAAGCATGCAAGGTTGTTGGGTACTTTCGCACAGGTCCGCCCACTTTATACACGTCTTAAAGCCGGGAGGGTTTGACTATTTGCAATCGCTAGTCCTACTAAAGGTGTGCAAAGACCCCTGTCGCCCCATGGAAAAATTATTCCGAACATGGTTTTTCGGCGGCCATAAGTTCTGAATTAAAGCATTTTTAGGGGTGCCCGAGTAGCGAAATTTGACTTTATCTAATAGTATCAAGCGTTCTCGTACTGCTAGCTGGAAAGAGCATACAAAGTTGCATATTTTGATCCGCAAATGAGATTTTCGCCACTGACATTCGGAAAGAATTTTGGACTGGAGGACCTTATCTGCATTAGCAGATACCATTGGTATTATGGCGTGTTGGACGAGCTCAAAACATAACAACTTTATCTATATTCAAATAAAAGCGGCTTCCAAGTTTGTTCGTTTGACGCAACAATGAAGTCTCTAGCACTTTTTACTCCTTTATGGTGAGTGAAGCCGTGGAACCTACTTTGGCCCTTCCTGCCCTCCTCCCTCGAAAACTAGAATTTGATAGAATCCTGATTTCAAATCTAGTTTGGACAAATACTTGTATCCTTTTCCCAACTTTCTGATAGTTTCTTTCATATTCGGCATTGGGGATGAATCTTTGATTGTTACACGATTTAACTTTTTAAAATCAACTAGTAATCTCTTTTTTCCATCACCTTCATCAACCAGTATGGCTGGTGCTGATTTAGTGATCAAACCAGCTTTTAGAAATTCTTGAATTATATTATATAATGCTTCTTCATGTCTTGGTTGTGGATACGGTTGACATGCTGGCGGTGAATGTAGTATTGTGTTTATTATATTATTGATCGGTGTTTTTCCAATGTTGTATTTTGTGGTGTCAAAGATTGCTTGAAAGCGATATAGTAACGGCAGTAGCTCATCTTTCTACATTTGTTATTAATTCTTTGATTTCTTTTTCGACGGATGGATTTATTGGTTGAATTGAATTTAGTATATTATTCCTACCTGCCAACTCGCTCTTTTCGAGCGGTAGCAACATGGCCCTCATCTGCCGACTCGCCCTTTCGAGCTGTAGCAACACAACTCACAAGGGGCGACTCACTCTTTCTAGCTGTACCAACACTTGCTCCACATGGACACCAGGTCGTTGATTTATGATCGTGATTCTTCTGACTCCAGTCTAGATAACATGCCATGTAGCCCATCCAACTTCATTTTGAAACAAATTTGGATATGATGAGTTATTAGTGACAGTTAACGATGACGTATATGAGTTAAATTCAAGTAGTGAGTGTGCAAGGAATAAGCATGAATTTCCAACAAAAAACGAATTAGGTATAAATGAAGAAGTAATGGAAGAAATAGGAACAGATACTTTAACCAAATTATTTAAATTAGAGTTAATTTTTACAAGTTTCGTTAAGGTAACAGGAAAATTTTCAGGTAACATTTGTTTACCATAGTCAGTTGTAATTAGATGTTGTTCACCTTCCATAGATACACTGTAAAAAATAAAGTGTATCTCAAAGGACCGGTTCCTATTTAGCGCACGTATTTTCGGGAGCGGTTTTAAAGTACTCTACCTATTAACGCTTTGAAGAAGTGAATTCTTTTGTAATACTTTT